AGCTGAAAGCCCTTGTTCAAGAATTCGGAAGGGAACGATATTAAAAAGTCGGAACGTGCCCAGCCCTAGTATGGGGGGCAGTAAGTAGGGGGGCATGGAGTAGGAGGGCAGGGAGCAGGAGGGTAGAAGTAGGAGACGTAGGGAGTAGGAGGGTAAGAAGTAGGAGGGCAGGAAGTAGGAGAGCAGGAGTAGGAGGGAAGGGCAGGGAGCATGAGGGCAGGGAGTAGGAGGCCAGGGAGTAGGAGGGCAGGGATTAGGAAGCCAGGGAGTAGGGATGCAGGGGGAGGGAGGGGAAGGGCACATGAGTGGAGGCAATTAGGATGGAGAGAGGGGAGAAGGGAGTAGGGTGTAGGGAAGGGAGTAGGATAGAGGGAAGNGGAGTAGGGGGGCAGGGAATGGGAGGACAGGTCGAGTAGCTTCGTAGGAGGGCAGGAGAAGGAGGGCAGGGAGTAGGAGGCCAGGGAGTAGGGGGGCAGGGGAAGGGAGGGGAAGGGCAGTGAGTAGGGTAAGGGGCTTATAGGATGGAGGGAGGGGAGAAGGGAGTAAGAATATTTGTTTCTGTATTTTATAAATATAACATTCAATAAATAAATATTTATGAATTATTTTGTAATTATTTCTCAGTTAACGAGTTTTTGATTCTGCATTTTAGAAGAACATTAGAATTTTAACGTTAGGCATTCTTAATATTTACTAAACTGTTGAATAATTTATTCGAAGTATTATTTAATATATGTGTTGCGTAAATCCCCCGTCAGGTGTCTCTAGTTGTAAAGAAACAATATTCTTTGGTTTTTATTCAATATTATGGTGGTGTATTTTCCGACCTACACATATCCACCATACTCCACTTCTGACCTACACCAAATCCGCTATACTACACATCCGACCTACTAGCACGTGGTATTACAGCTGCTGTATGGACTTGTGGCCGCAGCGCTCGGCCCCCTAGCCTGTCCTAGCCGCAGCGCTCGGCCCAGAAATTGTCCTAACCTAACCTAACCCTCAAATAATACTAAAATAAACAGCTGGCGTAGGTCCGATATTGCAGTAGGTCGGAAAGTTAGTAGGTCAGAAGTTCAGTAGGGGGATGTTGCGTATAGACGATGACGATGTAACATTACAATATTATGTAATAGCTTGTTTCCAGATTTTGCCGCTAGGTTATAGTATCGCCGCGCGGCACACGAGAGGAAGCGATATTCGTAAATTTTAAACAATATATTCAATACAGAGTTGTATAAATATTACTCACAATGTAAGCGCGTGATTAATTACATTTGAATAAAATATTCCGATTTATAAAATATTCCGATTTATAAAATATTCCGATTTATAAAATATTTTATAAATCGGAATATTTCGATCAAATTGGATTGGATTTGAAAAACAAAATTATGCAAAATTTAGATAAAATTTATTTAATATTTTGGTGCGAATTGCGCGACTATAAAATATTGAATAAAATATACAATAAAAAGTTGCCAAGAGGTTCTAATTTCAAACTTTAAAATAGCTCGATCCAACTGAATTAAACTTTTGTTTTAAGCATATTTTTATTCTTGTATTTGTCCATGTCAATGTCATGAATTTCGGGGCACTATCTATTATTCATGTTTAATTAGTAGGGATATATTGAAGAATGGTGATTGAGCATGAATTCTTGGAACTCGGGGGGAATTTTTATTTTGTAAAAGTACGTACAATTAACACTTCTTATCTTTGGGTTAGGACATGCACTCTATTTAAAATATACTAAGATTAATTTCGTAATCCCCAAATCGCTAAAAAAGTTTATTTCACAACCAATAAAAGTCTATTTCTTATTACCTTCAAATGTCCTAACAGTTCTTAGCCCCAAAATGGCCTAACAGTTTATTTCTTAACCCCCAATTGTCCTAACAGTTTCTATTCTAACCTCCATTTGTCCTAATAGTTTATTTACAAACATCCAATTGTCCGAACAGTTTCTATCCTAACCTCCAATTGTCCTAACAGTTTCTATCCTAACATCCAATTGTCCTAACAGTTTCTATTCTAACCTCCAATTGTCCTAACAGTTTCTAATCTAACCTCCATTTGTCCTAATAGTTTATTTACAAACATCCAATTGTCCTAATTCAGTTTCTATCCTAACCCCCAATTGTCCTAATTCAGATTCTATCCTAACCTCCAATTGTCCTAATTCAGTTTCTATCCTATCTATGTTTAAAGTCTACTAGATATATCAAGAATGGGTTTACACTCTTTGATGGGTTCAAAATCTGGATGTCAAGTCTACCTGCAACATTAAGGATAAGTTTACTCCCTTTGATTAGTGTGGATGTCAAAGTCTACTAGTAACAACGATAATGAAATTAAACCCTTTGATTCTTGCAGATGTTAAAAGTCTATTAGAAACAAAAATTGGATTAGACCCTTTGATGAGTGGGAAATGTGGATGCGTAGTCTCCCTCCAACAGTGAAAAAAGGTTTACACCCTTTGATTAGTGTGGATCATGGATGTCAAGTCTACCAGAAACATCAAGAATGGTTTTACACCCTTTGATTAGTGTGGATCATGGATGTCAAGTCTACCAGAAACATCAAGAATGGATTTACACCCTTTGATTAATGTGGATCATGGATGTCAAGTCTACCAGAAACATCAAGAATGGATTTACACCCTTTGATTAATGTGGATCATGAATGTCAAGTCTACCAGTAACATCAAGAATGGATTTACACCCTTTGATATGCTGAAAATATTTATATATATGCAGTTAGAATGTGTTCCAATCATGAGCTGACTTGTTTTATATATTGCTTACATTTTTATTACTAAAATTTGGTACTTCGCCTCAGTCAACATACTTAAGTGCAATGAATTTATTTCTAAAAATGTTTAATTATTAAAAGGTTTACTTAAAGATTTCTTTGAAATAGCAGGTTTATGAAATTAGAGAATATTAGGGGGAATACTACTATTATCTTTCCAATATTTAAACAAAACAAACTTTACACCATTAACATTTGCATTATGTAATATGTATGTATATCAATGGGTGTGAATACATCTTTAATAATATATAAATAGACCATACAATACTATAGATTTTACTAATACACAAAGAGGAAAAGTCAGGACGTTGTTGTTTCAAATTATCCTCAAATCTAAAATGTTCACATACAATAACAGATCAATTCCATGGGGAATAATCGTCCCGGAAACCGTAAAAATCAAGATCGACTTTAAAAAACTGCAACCCTTTGGCCTTTGGCCTTGACATCTAAAATCAAAAACTACAACGGGCCTTGTTTCCAGCTTTAGCTTTGAAGAAGCAATGGACAAATATTCTGTTTAGATTTCTGTGTGCCTTGCATTGTCAGATATCCAGTTTAAAAAATCTTGTTTTTTTACCTGTTACAACAATTATTCCCTCCTCTAGGAATTAGAGTTTTAAATTTTTAACATTTTTAACCCTATCTCTGCTGGGGTACTTGAAAACCAGGATATGCTGGGGGGGGGGGGGTCAATTTGCCCCCCCCCCCTCTAAATCCCATGTTTGATGTCAAAATATGACAAATTATACATCATTTGAAAGCTCTTGTGCTCTACTTTTAGAATCTGCAAAAAAATTTGCAAATTTGCAAAAATTGAATTTTTTATCGCAAAATCCAGTTATGACCATGTCATTTCAAATATGCAAAAAATTTTGCAAAATTTTAAATAACCTGATTTTTAATCAAGAAAAACTAAAAATGTGCAAATTTCCTTTGACAGGTTGTTTGCAAAAAATTTGCAATTTTTTTCGCAAAACTTGTGCAATTCGTTTCCTTATGTGAGAGGCTTTCCAAAAAGCTAAATTTTATAAAAATCTGACAAGTGGAAGTGGGTCAAAACAAAGATTTAGTTTGCTACAGGAAAAAGCAGTCATTCAGGCAGTGTGCCTGAGAACTCAGGCAGTTAGTATTAAAGTCCGGTTTTACGCCTAAAGAAATGGCTTTGGGTATGTAGGAAAAGTCAGAAAATTTCAACAACCTCAGACCAATACTTTTTGAGTTATGTAAAAAAAACTACAGGAATAGGGTTAACATCTTTTAGGATATTCTTGACATTTCCGAGAAAGTAAAGAATAATTATCAAAATATTTTTTTATTTTTATTCTTTTCATTGAAAGGAACTCTGTTTAAAAATACGCACAGATCCAAATGCTTGTAAAATTTTAAAGGAAGTATCACATAATTTGAAGAGAACCTCCATGCAAAGATGGCAATGTCCGATTCACAACTTGAAACCTTTATCTGATCAATAAGGTTTTGTTGTTTCTCGAGAGTTTTTTTATTCGAATAATTCCAATATTCTCCCCATATTCTCTACTGTAAAAACGCCCAAGTCACTTTTGTAGAGAAACCCCGATTGAAAATAAACAGTTTTGAAAATCAAAAACATTGATATCTAATTCATACTTGAATAGAAAAAGCTTTTTAACTGTGCCAGCTTTGCATGGAGGGTCACTTACAGGACGTGTTCGCAAAAAATGAAAGGGGGTATAGGCTTAGGTAAAAAAATCTATGGTTTTAAAAACGAACTTGGTCGTCGTTTTCATAACGAAACGATCGTTTTTCAAAAAAATGAAAACGTTAACATTTCTAAGCATTCGTATATATGTTGATTTTTCTTTAATTATTTTATTTGTTTTAAATACAATGCACTTAAAACAACGATTTTTGTCCGCTAGGTGTCTCTCCCACATGGAACCACAGAAACATCGAGAGCAGAGACACCTGGAAGCCAACTAATCGTCGTTTAAATTGCATAATAAATAACAAACAAAAAATATATTATAAAATATTAACTATCTACGAATACGTCAGGAAAAAATCGATTATTAGAGGTGGTAATATCTGAATGATTAGTAGCGTTCTCCATCAAATATTTTTCGACGTAAGCCTATAACCCCTTTAAGTTTTCGCGAACACTCCCTTTAAAATTACGCTTTGAGTCCCTTTAAGGGTACCAACTGTATAATTTCTTGATTGCAGAAATTTAAAACTATTCCTGCAGATCATGTCTAGCGTGTCTGCATCATCGAAATTTACAAATATCTCTTTTTCTGAACCTGCCACCTCTATAAATAACGAGAGCTTAAAAAGTTGAATTTTCGTGAAAACTGTATTAAATAAGAAAAGGATTAAAAATTGAGATTAATTTTATAGATTGTCTTAGGGGATTAACTGAGAGGCTATGTCTTGCAGTTAGCAAACGGAATTTACCATTAAAAAAACTTACTGGTAAATAAGATTTTCAATTAATGATTTTTGATGTTAAAGAGAAGGGTCAATGAGTTATCACAGAAAAGATGGAAAATAAAAAAATTGAGGCATTATGAGAGCCAAAAGGTATACCTGGATTTTCTAAGAACGTAATGGCTGCCAAATCACAAGTACTACCTAAAAAGTATTTTTTTAATTTAAAAGGACGTAACATTCTATCCACAAAATATAATAAAATTAAAAGTAATTAAAAAATAAATGTACAAAAAGCATTATGATTTTGTACATTTTTGTAAAACAGATTGCTCAATTATTTGAAACCAGTAATATTATACCAAATGTATATTTTTGAATTAAGAATAAAAACATTAAAATTGTTTGTTTTTGTTTGCTAATCTTTTAATGGATTTGTTTTTAAACAAAATTTAAAGGGAACGTTAGCGTGATTTCACGTGAACTTCCATGTAAAGGGACCGTCAGCGTGATTTAACGTGAACTTCCATGTAAAGGGACCGTCAGCGTGATTTCACGTGAACTTCCATGTAAAGATGAAAATGCCCGATTCACAACGGTAATCTAAAAAGTTTAGAAAATCGAAAATATATTTAACGTTATTGATGAGATAAAGGCTTCAAGGTTGCCGTTTTAAATCGGAAAATGCCATCTTCGTATGTAGGTTCACTGGAAAAATTAAAATTACGCTTACGGAGGCCAAATTTAAAGAATTTGAGCTGCGACTTAAATTTGAGACGCAGCTCAAATTTGGTTGGTTTCACTTTGAATTGTATTCAATGTTTCAAGATTTAAGCCGGCGTTCAACTAAAACCGGTTTTTGGCTGATTTGAGACGCGGCTCAAATTTATTAAATTCGGACTTAGTCCCTTTAATTTCTCAAGACAACTCATCATAACTTACTTGATTTATCGAATGCGAATGCATTACATCTCTGCGAACCTATCCTAGACTGATAATGGAGGCAGTATTCTCCACATTTCTTTAAATCAGGTTTAAATAAACTCGTAAACACGCTCTAAATAAACCACAAGTACTTATCATATTATTCCTACATTATTTATTAGAAACTGAACACCCGCCTTTAACATTGATTTGATAATTCTTTTAGCTGATTTATTAGACCATCAGGTTACAAAATATGGTGCTTGTGAAATCAGAAGTGTGCAGTTCCTTTGGGCAGTTTTCTCAATTTATTGTGTTACTTCGATCAACATTTTTTAATTTTGTAAAATCAATCAATATTCACTTCAAATATTGACGCCATTTCCTTTTTGATGCTCAGTTTGTTTCTAATTGATTTTCATTGTTTCTTTCCATTACTTTACCTTGCTGTAGGACGATTCACTCATGTTTTTGGTTTTGATGTAAACAGCATTTCTAGAATATTGAAATTTATTATCATCTCTTAATTATCTAATTATTATTTAATTAGCGTTACGTTTTTTGTACTTTTTAAATACAAAAAATGTCGCACCATGGAAGGTTTATGAGTTATCCAAATTTTACAAATTTGAAAATGCTCAAAAAAAATTATGAAATCCGCAAACTTTTTGTTTTTGTTTTATACTAATAGAAGATGCTCACAGATTAAGCCACAATATAAAGTTGCAATAAAAGATGGGCACGAAGCGCCCTAAAAGCCTAGTACTTAAATATTCCTAAACATATCTAGTAACAAATCAGTTATAAATTGCAAAAATCTTTTACGCCATTTAGTTTATAATAAAAAGAAAGAATGCAGGAGAACAATCATTACAATATTTTCTGATAACAATTGTATAAGTTGACAAATATAACAGAATACACAACTTTTGATTAAAATTGGTTAATTCATAGATGTAGATAAAAATTAGTTTTAAAAGTTTAAATAGGATATCATATTCTAACTTCATAGTTTTCATTGTAATCAATATTTCATAATATAATTTTGCATTCGAGCCAGCCGGACAATTTATATTCGTAAAAAATACGCAAAATGTAAGCATTTCTTCAGTGAACAGCTGTCATCAATGATTTGTTGCGTATTTTTTCCGGAATGATTTGTTTCACGTGTCCACTTCTTCCTATTAATCTTTTTAATATTTAATATAAACTTTATCAACGTCTCGACTAAGCAAAGGAACACTTAAAAACTGATAGAAATAAAAAACAGGTTTTTTGAGCCTCTTGCAAAGTTTGAAAGTTTGAATATGATAGTATTTGTTAGTGGCTTTTAGGGCGCTTCGCGCCCATTTTCTATTTAAATTGTAAACATGTTCTTTTTGTTTACATTTAAAACAAAGAAGAAAAAAATTTTGCGGATATTTAAAATAAAATTCGCGGATTTTCAAGAATTTAAATTTTTTTACAAAATTAAAAACCTTTAAAACACATTTTTTTTACTTTTTATCATTCATAAACCTTCCCTGTGGTCACGTGATGTCCCACAAAAAATTTGGGCCCGATCGGTTCAGTCGTTTTGACGTTTATTGGATACAAACAAACAAGCAGACAGACAAGCCAAATTTATATATAAATTGGGTTTTGTCACATTTTTCAAAAACATTTAAGGTTAAGTATTTATTTCTTTTAGTCACACAGCAGAACTCTTTTAAACGTTTTCCGATCAAAAATGATCATTTTTCATCTAAAGTTAAAGTGTTCGCGAAAAATGAAAGTGGGTATTGGCTTAATGCGATAAAAAAGCGCTTTTGATCGCTTCTAATCTTACTTCTATCTGTTGCGTCTATAAGGAGAAAATTGTTAAAAACGACTAATACCGAAGAACGTAGTGTTCATATAAATTCAGAAAGATGCAATATTCAACTCTGATCGTAAACAAATCAATTTAATTCCAAACAAATCATTCAGATATTACAAACAATAGTCATCGGTTATTTTCGACGCATTCGTAAATAGTTGATATTTCATAATATTTTGAATTTTTCATGATCTGAGAGTTACTTTTGAAAACATTTATTCCTGTTTCAATAATGATAATGAAGACGACATTTTCATATTTTCCGGGAATGTTCGAAAATCCAGCGCGAGCGAAAATTATTTTTTTTTAAATCAAAAATATTATGAAATATTAACTTTGTACGAATGCTTCGAAAAATAATCTATGACTATTGTTTGTAATAACTGAATGATTTGTTTGGAATTAAATTGATTTGTTTATGATCCGAGTTGAATGTTGCATCTTTCCGAATTTTTCGGTGTGAGTCGTTTTCACCATTTTCTCCTTATAGACGCAACAGATAGAAGTAAGATTAGTAGCGATCCAAAGCGCTTTTTATCCCCTTAAGCCTATACCCCCTTTCATATTTTATTGCAAGTCTTCTGCAAAAGTTATTTGGGTATTTTCTATATCTTTCTATATATCTTAGATCCTCATAGTTTCTCGCTTTAAAGAGAGAGACTGGCTAGATATGGTAGTTGAGCTTAAAGTGCAGTATTGTAGAGAAATATTTTAGGGTTCATTTGATACCAATGAGACATTTTTACGGTGAACAATTTTTGAGTAAAAGCGTAAATTCGTTTATAATACTTCACCAACTGTTGACATCAGAAAACTATTTTTACCATCATTTAATAACACGGACAAAGCAAGAGAATAGAAATTATTCTATAGACTAATTCTCTTCTTTAAAATGTCGTATTACCAATTAAAATAAAAAAACCTCAATCAATGCATGCTTTTATACATTCAACTAGTTTGCAGAATATATGTTTATATACATGCAACTAGTTTGCAGAATATATGTTTTTTCTACGCTATTTAAAAATTTTAAAAATACATTTCTCCTGCTGACTAAAACAACAGGTAAACTATTATAAACAACTTTACTCTTTTTTTAAATTGTACACCGTAAAAATGTCTCTCAGTGGTATCAAATGAATTCTAGACTTTTTCTTTAAAGTATCCACTCCCAAAGTAGGAGTTTTGAACGTCGAATTTGCCTAAAACTCAGGATTTACAGATCTTTAAAACGTTTAATATGTCTCAAATGAATCCGAAAGAAGTTTTCCACAACACTGCATACTCAGTTTAACTACTTTACATAGCCGGTCACTCCCTTTAAAAACAACAAAAACAAAAAAACAGCAAACTTAACATCAAAACATCACGGACAAAAACACCTGGTCCACTGTGCAGATGTGTGATGAAGAATAGAAATGAGAAGAATTGTAAGGAAAATATACTCATGGTGTTTCTCCATAACCAGCTTCATGTTGACTAAACAAACCCTGGGTTAATATTTTCTAAAACTAAAACTCATTTATTATTCAAAACCATGATAATAATAAATTACACTGTAGTTTAAGTTTGTATACTGCATATGGATACATAGAAACATTCGAAAAACAAAAAAAATGCATTAAAATTCATAATTATTAATGTTACTCTAAAAAACTAAAATTTGTTACAATAACTTAATTTTGCACAAATGTTTTTTTCTTCAAAAAATATGTTCAACGTTTTTTTAAATCGATTTTTCGAATAATTGATACCAACAACAAGTAAAAAGATATATCATCAGCTTGTCTGAATTTTCAAATATATGATACCAAATCTTAGACCCAGCATGACATTATGCTTCGTTTGTCATAATTATATGGCAATTAAATATTCCTAGACTTAATGTTTATTTTGCTTATTTATGGAAGGGTCATAAATCTTAAAATGACCAAGAGGACTCAGGGGTATAATCCTTAATATAAACATGAAATATAATTTTACAAGATTGCCAGTAGACCTGGGGACAGTAGTTCCGTTACATTTTTTGGAAAGATAAAAAGGGACTGTAAGCGTAAATTCAAGTGAATTTCTCTGCAAATATTGCAATTCCCGATTCACAACGGTACCATTGTGCCCTTTAACTAGCTAATAATTTGGAAGATATTTATGTTTTTCTAGGTATACAATTGTTAAATTCTGATAATGCGCAAACACTGATGTAGAGAAATCACATTTCAAAATAATCAGTTTTTAAAATTAAAACATTGATACTTGATCAGACAAAGCTTTACAGGGTTCCGTTGGGATTTGAAAATTGCCATCTTTACATGTACACTTTACATCTCTGCACTACACTTTACATGTACACTTTACATCTTTGCACGTACACTTTACATGTACACTTTACATCTTTGCACGTACACTTTACATGTACACTTTACATCTTTGCACGTACACTTTACATGTACACTTTACATATGTAGGGGAACATGAAATTAAGCATTCCCTTTAAGAATATATAAACTCTTTCTTAAAGCCAATTTTACCAACTATAGTTAAAAGGAACTTGTATTCTAAATATATACTTTGCTTGTCTGTCTGTATGTTTGTATTTAATAAAAGTAAAAACGGCTGAACCGTGTTGGACCTCGCTTGACCCCAGGGAAGGTTAATGGATGATGGAAATTTTTAAAAATTCGATTTTTGAAAATTTTGAAAATCCACGAAATTTTATATAAAATCTGCAAAATATATGTTTTTATTTTACAATTTATACTAGGTGAACATGTTGACAATTGAGTAAGAAATGTGCACTAAGCACTCTAAAAGCTTTGTGTTAAAAATACGTTCGATTTTTGTTGACGACCGATTAACAAATTAATTACCGTGTACAGCCCTAGCTATGTATCCTTGAATACTTAAAGACAATACAGGGTTATCCAAAAAGGGTGAGACATCAGATACGACACAGTACGATTATTCTCATTGCATGTATGCGTTTACATATCAAGTCGACATTAAACATTAAAGATTATTACTTTTTAATTAGATTGTTACATTAAAAGATTTTCATGTAGTTATTAAAGTCTGGTGCTTTCTGCTCTTGTTAGTTCTTGCTCGCACATTTACTTTATTGGTTTTGCACATCTACTTTATTGTTTTTGTACATCTACTTTATTGTTTTTGCACATCTACTTTATTGTTTATGCACATCTACTTTATTGTTTTTGCAAATCTACTTTATTGTTTAGCAAATCTACTTTATTGTTTTAGCACATCTACTTTATTATTTTTACACATCTACTTTATTGTTTTTGTACATCTACTTTATTGTTTTTGTACATCTACTTTATTGTTTTTGTACATCTACTTTATTGTTTTTGCACATCTACTTTATTGTTTTCGCACATCTACTTTATTGTTTTTGCAAATCTACTTTATTGTTTTTGCACATCTACTTAAATGTTTTTGCATATCTACTTTATTGTTTTAGAACATCTACTTTATTGTTTTTGCACATCTATTATATTGTTTTTCACATTTACTTTATTGTTTTTGCACATATACTATATTGTTTTTGCAAATCTACTCTATTGTTTTTGCACATCTACTTTATTGTCTTTACAAATCTACTTTACTGTTTTTGCACATCTTCTATATTGTTTTTGCACATCTACTTTATTGTTTTTGCAAATCTACTTTATTGTTTTTGTACGTCTACTTTATTGTTTTTGCAAATCTACTTTTTTGCTTTTGCAAATCTACTTTATTGTTTTTGCACATCTACTTTATTGTTTTTGCACATCTACTTTATTGTTTATGTACATCTCTTTATTGTTTATGCACATCTACTTTATTGTTTTTGTACATCTACTTTATTGTTTTTGCAAATCTACTTTATTGTTTTTATCTACTTTATTGTTTTTGTACATCTACTTTATTGTTTTTGCACATCTACTTTATTGTTTTTGTACATCTATTTTATTGTTTTTGCACATCTACTTTATTGCTTTTGCAAATCTACTTTATTGTTTTTGCACATCTACTTTACTGTTTTTGCACATCTACTTTATCGTTTTTGCACATCTACTTTATTGTTTTTGAACATCTACTTTATTGTTTTAGCAAATCTACTTTATTGCTTTTGCAAATCTACTTTATTGTTTTCGCACATCTACTTTATTGTTTTTGCACATCTAGTTTATTTTTTTTGCACATTTACTTTATTGTTTTTGCACAAATACTATATTGTTTTTTGCAAATCTACTTTTAATGTTTTTGTACATCTACTTTATTGTTTTTGAATCTAAGTCATGCTGCCGAAGAGTGTTTAAAACACTCGAAAGGATGTGTACAACAAGAAAGGATGTGTACAGCAAGAACGGATGTGTACAGCAAGAAAGGATGTGTACAGCAAGAAAGGATTTGTACAACAAGAAAGGATTTGTTTAGCAAGAAAGGATGTGTACAGCAAGGACGGATTTGTACAGCAAGAAAGGATTTGTACAGCAAGAAAGGATGTGTACAGCAAGAAAGGAGGTGTACAGCAAGAACGGATGTATACAGCAAGAAAGGATGTGTACAGCAAGAAAGGATTTGTACAGCAAGAAAGAATGTGTACAGCAATAAAGTATTTGTACAGCAAGAAACGAAAAAATATTTATTTTTTTCTCTGAACTATATCTTAAACAAATTCCTATGATGTTTATAAATATATCAAGTTCAACAATTTCAAAATTACAATATCCGTACAGACATTTCTCAACGGAAAGGAAGAAAAAACGAGATATTGTACTGAACATAAAATAAGTTCAGATCCTAGTCTGTATATTTACCCTTGCTAATAGTTTTGCAAGGGGGGAGAAATGATCCTCAGGGATTACATACTGAAAATAAAACAATAATTAATAAGGTTTTAATTACAATTGTTGTTATTAATGAATAAGATTAAAATAAATGAATAAATGTTATCTACCAAATTAACTTACTTTTTCAACTGAACTATTTCTTAAACAAATTTCTATGATCTTTATAAATATATTAATTTCAACAATTTCAAATTACAATATCCGTAGACACATTTTTCAAGGGAAAGGAAGAAAAAACGAGATACATTAGACAATTTTCTCGTTCTCAATGTATTCCGTTTTCTTGTTGTTTAATTTTAAGAATATAGAAAAACTTATTCGTTAAAAATAATAAATCTTCATTCAAATCAAATAAAAAAGGGAAAGATTCCAGCTAAAAAGTCCACTTGTCCCGCAAAATAGGTTTTTCATTTTCAACAAAGCCATATAAATCCAATCTAAGATGTCGTCTTACACAGAAAAATTGTTTAATTTTTACAATGAGGTATCTTTTTTTAAGTAAAGCTTCGAGTTTTGATAATTTGGTATCTAATTTGGGATTTACTCTCATTCCTTAAATTTCTGTTTAATCTATCTAACTAAAAACTGAAGTAAAAATAGGAGTTAAATTGTCTTCTGTGGAGGCCGGGTAGATACTTGGTCAAAATAAACTAAAGTAAGCCCATATAGTAATTTTGATAATTACAAGCAATTTGTCTGAAATCAATTACAATGAATAATTTTAAAAACTGATTACAAAAATAAAACAAAAACAATAAAGCCGTCTTTCATTTATCTTATAATTTAATCGGGTTTAAAAATTTATAGAAAGTAAGTTGGAAAATTAAATTTTACGTAGTTCATATAATAAATGAACAATATTTTGAGATCTGTTTAAGTTTAACAACTTCCACGCACCTCTGAACTTCAATAAAAGTAAATTCAACCTAAAGCCTGGCCGCTCAACCTTATTGCACCGGCTAGTCCTATTGTGTGTCTGCTTTATTTACCAATGCCCGGGCAATACAGTACAAACTGGGACCGGAAAAGTTGACCCGGCTCCGAAATTCAAATGTACTACGGCTGCCCGTGCTTCGCACCCACCTTCGGTTTCATCTTTAAATTGTTGCTCTATCTTCGGCATTATCTCTTCTTAAATGATCACATTCAAAAACAACATTTTTTTAGGATTTTGAAAAATGAAATTTTTGTTAGGCAAATTTGTTCACTTCTGGCCATTGATAAATCTTTCCTGGGGTCATGTCACATGTGTGGTCCCACTTCTATGGGCTGGATCGGATTTACCCGTTTAGACGTTTATGGATACAATTAGACAATCAACCATACATACACCTAGGCTTTCCAGTGAACAAAAACTTTCGCGAAAATATTTTGCATTTTTTCGCGGAAATGAATTGAGCGAAAAATGCAAAAACGATGCGAAATTTCACAAAAATAATTTCGAGAAAAAAAATCCGCGAAAACCATATGTATAGTTGATGCAACAAATAACTGCGCAAAAAAACGTGTGGAATTCTCTGCTCTGAGAACTCAACCTTAGAAGTATTATTATAATATCATAATTAATAATTTTTCTTCCTTTACTTTACATATCTGATGAAGAGAATTTGATATATCCATTAATACGAA